AATGCCCAATTTTTTTATCCTTAAACTCTAGACCTGGAGAGGGTCCACATTCAAAGAAATGACAAAAATAAACGAGCCCCTCTCAGTCACATTAGCACAAAAAAGCAAAGATTAAACATAAAATAAACACTTGAGGCCATTGCATATTCATAGTCAAAAGCAAAACAAAAGTATCCAACCTTCTCATCTCATGTTCTTAATATCCAACCTTCAAAAAATGTGCATCTACCATTCCTAAATTCCACCCCAAAACAAAAATAAAAAAAAACCAAAAATAAAACAGATAAAATTAAGTTGAAAATTCAACCCAACCCGCCCAATAAATCAAACACGTCCCCAACCTCCCACACGCACCCAAACCCCCACCCCCCCTACCCCCTACCCCCACGCCCCACGCCCCACGCCCCACGCCCCAACTCCCTCCTCCTCATATATTTTATCCAACACCAGCAAACATCTGACTTCACTCGTAGTCTAACACCATGTTTGTTCTCATATTCTTCACCGTTGTCTTGGCCTTCTTCTTATACAGGCTCTTCGCCCCCGGCGGGAGCCGCCACGCTCAGCCCCTTCCACCAGGGCCGAAACCCTGGCCTGTCGTGGGAAACTTGCCCCACTTAGGCCCCGTTCCCCATCACTCTCTGGCGGCGTTGGCCCGTCAGTATGGACCCCTTATGCACCTCCGCTTGGGGTTCGTTGACGTGGTTGTTGCAGCCTCTGCTTCGGTGGCGTCACAGTTCTTGAAGACCCACGACGCCAATTTCTCTAGCAGACCACCCAACTCCGGCGCCAAGCATCTCGCTTATAACTACCAGGATTTGGTGTTCGCGCCGTACGGTCCACGATGGCGGATGTTACGGAAGATCAGCTCCGTCCATTTGTTCTCCGGCAAGGCTCTCGATGATCTTAAACATGTTCGCCAGGTAAGCAATTCGGCCGTCGTCTTTTTACGTTGATTTTCTCTACACTTCATTAATGCATGTTTTATTAATTATCTAGCAATCGAAAACTGATTTATTCTTAAATTAAATCACTAGGTTGACTACACGTTTCTTAAAGCTTTTATTAAAAAAAATAATCCATCATCATAATTGTTAATTAACAATTAATTGTGGTCTTAATTATGTAGTTGTTACTCCATGTAAGAAAATTAGTGCATTTTATGCTCACTACTATATTTATCATCATTTGATGAGTTTAAATTTTAAGATTTGTATCGATCCACATAACAAATGACGGCGATAAATAAGGTGGTGAAGCATCATCATCGCTTGAGTACAATGAACAAAAATATTGCCATAAGAAAATAGTGTATGAAAGTGCGATTAATGGTAGACTAGTCCAGGTGATGAATTACCGAGATATAATTTTTCTTTTCAAATCGCTGAGTTTTGAAATCAAAGCCCTAGTAATATTGTGTCTAGACCCTGCTTACTAATTTAGTTTGGAGTAGTGATATAATAGTAATATTGTTTGCAATAAGATAAAATAGACTCGTAAATTTTAGGATTAACTATATTTTACATCACAAGGTTTGGAGATCGTTTGCACAATAAGCCACAAAATTTTGATTTTTATACATATTACACCACGTCATTTCTTAATTACACTAATTTAATTTTCCTTCAATTTGATGTTCGAGATACTATAATTGCATAAGTCTTAACGAAACACTTTTGGTACTCTTTACTTAACGTTAAAGACATTTTTATTCTAAAAAGCCACTCCTAGTACTATTCACTTACAACATTTTTTTGTTCTCAAAGTTTTTAAGTTTTTTTCATTAGTTTTTTTTTTAATTTTTTTTAATAATATTATAGGAGGAAGTAGGTGTGCTGGCACATGGATTAGCAAGTGCAGGGTCAAAGCCAGTGAACTTAGGGCAGCTACTGAACGTGTGCACAGTCAACGCCCTAGGGCGGGTGATGGTAGGGCGGAGGCTCTTCGGAGACGGCGGCGGGCGCGAAGACCAGAAGGCCGACGAGTTCAAATCCATGGTGGTGGAGATGATGGTGTTGGCTGGCGTTTTCAACATCGGCGACTTCATCCCGGCCCTCGAGTGGCTGGACTTGCAGGGGGTGGCGGGAAAGATGAAGAAGCTGCACAAGAGGTTCGATGCCTTCTTGACCGCCATTGTTGAAGACCACAAGAGGAGCGGCGAAGGGAAGCACGTGGACATGCTGACGACGTTGCTGTCGCTCACGGATGATGCTGACGGTGAGGGCGCCAAGCTCACGGACACTGAGATTAAAGCTTTGCTTTTGGTACGTAGGCCCTCTTCTCTCTCTCTCTCTCTCTCTCTCCCTTCATCATTTTGTTTGAACCGTTGCATATGATAACAAAAGGATTTATAGTATAGTTTGACTTTGAGGATTTTAGAAAAATAAGTATTGTTTGTTTTAATAAGTGAAGTATTTTTTTTTTCAAATTATTTTCACTTTTCGTACACTTTTTTTATTATCTTTGTGCTTAACATTTCTTTATCAACTTGTTCGGTTTAGTTATTAAAAGAAAAGATGAACGCTCAAGAAGTGAAAATTTGTCGTCGTCATAATTATTATTTTGAATTTTTATCTCTCTTTTAGACACTTTTTTTCATTTAATGTTGTTCATCATGAAGTGTAAAACTATTTTATAGTGTGTCAAAAATACTTCTGTTAATAAAAATAAATCAAAATATTATTAGGACATAAATACAACTTTCCACAATTTCCCCAAAATATAAATTTATTTATACTAATTTCCCCAATGTTATAAGTTTTTACTAATTCCCTCTGTAGATATGTTTTGGTTTTTCAGCAACCTTTCTTGTTGGCCAGTGGTGTCCACGTCATCTTTAGTCACATTACTACAAAAAGCTATTACACTGACCCACCCATAATAATTTTGATGCACACAGAACATGTTCACAGCTGGCACTGACACGTCATCAAGCACGGTGGAATGGGCCATAGCAGAACTCCTTCGCCACCCCAAGATTCTAGCCCAACTCCAACAAGAGCTGGACCAAGTAGCGGGGCGGGATCGGCTCATAACCGAGTCGGACCTGCCTAACTTGACCTACCTCCAAGCAGTAATCAAGGAAACCTTTCGGCTACACCCGTCAACCCCGCTCTCCCTGCCTCGAATGGCGTCCGAGAGTTGCGAAATCAACGGGTTCCACATCCCCAAGGGTGCCACTCTTCTGGTCAACGTATGGGCCATATCTCGCGACCCGGCCCAATGGTCCGAACCGCTTGAGTTTAGACCCGAGCGGTTCTTGCCGGGTGGAGAGAAGCCCAATGTGGACGTCAAGGGTAATGATTTCGAGGTTATACCGTTTGGGGCCGGGCGGAGAATATGCGCCGGGATGACCCTTGGGCTGCGTATGGTGTCTCTAATGACCGCGACCCTGGTCCATGGTTTTGATTGGACCTTGGCTGATGGGCTCACACCTGAGAAATTGAACATGGACGAGGCTTATGGGCTCACACTACAAAGAGCCGCACCATTAATGGTGCACCCACGTAACAGGCTAGCCCCTCATGCATATAATGCGTCATCACCTTGAATTCTTGAGAGAGTTTTGAGTTGTATGATGTTTTATGGAAAATGTGTTGTCTTTGGTAATTCCTGGTGTGTCGATTATGAGCAGAAGTGTTTCTTTATTAGGGCTTTTACATCCAGGTCCAAAAACATAGAGTGTTTTTAGGAGTGACTCCAGTTATCTAATTATATGTTTTTATTTCTTTTATACTCCTTTTATATTTTCTAAAAATAATAAAAATCAATAAAAATCTTTTAATATTATGCATTTTTCAACTCCAAAATATCTAATTAATATCTTATAAACAAAACAAAAAATTAATATACTAACATATATCTATATGCAAAACATTCTACCCTAAATCAAGTAGCAAATATATGAATGTATATTATACCTATAAGTGAGATATGAAACTTAACTAAAAGGTATAAAAAAAAAACATAATATAGCTACAAGCAAGATACATTAATCTGTGACAGGTTGACTATGAAAAAGAATATGTCATATAGGTAGATAAATACAATTAACCTGTGATATAGGTTGATTATAAAAATTAAAAAAAACTATAAATGGGTTAAAGCGGGAGGAAGAACAAGAAATAACAAAAAATATATATATATATAAAGAAATAATCAAAGAGATAATTAGGAAGAAATTTGATTTTTACAATAAGTTTGTTTTTTTAGAGATAATTATTGATAATTAAATTTAAAGAATTGGACTTATTTTAATAAATTGGACCATTCCTACTATTGGCTCAAAAAAATTGGAGTTATATCAAGTTTCCCCTTCTTTATTTTACGCTTGATGATTTGCTTTTCATATCCGTCTCTAAAATAATAAAATCACGTACAATATTCACATGATAATTTGATTAATTTGATTGAAATGATCATTTGTTTATTCTCGATTCAATGAAATTGAAATTATGTAAAGCACACACGATTCAAGTCATTAGTGGTTTTTTTTTCTCTTGAACTTTAAAGCTAATCTATGCATTTAATCAAATTTAAAAGTTGTAAGTTGAAGATCACATAGGACAGTCACGAGTTAACATTGATGTAGTCAAGTTTGAATATCGCTCGGTACAATGAATTACATGAACATCGCTTAAAAAATATAAAATACTTAAAACGGATATTCATTATGCAAAAAATGATCAAAACAACTAAAGGATGAATGAATTTTATTTTTATTGGGAAAAATTAGTTGAGTGTCCTCATCAAACTAACAATGATTGAATATAAAAGGGATCAACCAGTGACTTCGGTATACTAGTCTATTTCGGAAGCTGGAAAGACTCACAGAGCGATTTTAATCTCTTTTAATCATTATTGTGTGATTCACCACCAGTGTTAGAAGTGTAACCCAAAATGTGTTGCATAAAATACGAGTTTAGAATTTATCCTAAACTACCGGACCATCTCATAGTGGTTATAATGATTGAATAATTGAACGGTTTTTTATTTTATTTTATTTTATTTTTTTTTTAGAGAACTACCAAAATCCAAGTGCCATCTTCTCTGGAACGACTACGAGCAAAAACAACGAACTCTCTCTCTGAAATTCCGATCTTTGTTTCATCTGAAAATGCGAGCTCTCCAATTCGAATCTGAGCCGTCCATTTCAGGGTTTTGTCTCTGAATCCAATCTGCCCCCACAGCAATGGCGACGAACCTTCGAGAACACTTCAACAAGCCGGTCAACTCGCCGATCCCGAGCCACCCAGCTACAATCGGCGGTCAAGATCAGAGCTTGTCCGTCGTCATCTCGCCGGAGTGCCATGGATTCTGGTACGACGCCGTTCTAGTGGTTCCCGCAGTCGTTTTCGTGGTGTACTTGGCGTTTCAAGCCAAGAAGAACGTCATCAAGCTCTCCAATGGAAGATCATACATCATGATATCCTATTATGCCCTACTCTGGGTCGCCAGCCTTCTCAACCTCGCCTGGTGCGCTCTTCAGGTTCGTGGGTTTTCAATTTTTGAAGGTTTTGGGTTGTGGGTTTTTTACAGTGTTGTGATTTGATTGCGATTTGGTGTTCGATTTTTCGATGCAGGCATGGCAGTGCTCAGGTGGGAAGGAGGTTGCTTGGAATGTGTTGTCATTGTTTACGGGTTCTGCAATGCTGGGATTGGAGATTAGCTTGGTGGGTTTCTTGCTCCAAGAGGATTATGCAAGTGGGGTTGAAGCTTTAGCTCATACTTTCTTGGTCTCTGGGATTGTTGTTGGTGTAGACATACTGCTTAAGGTAATTGCTAATCGGCATAATCGCCTTGTTGTTTGTAAATTGGTGAAGAATCCGTTGCATTGTGTATGCATGTTGTGATTTCAGCTTATATTTCGTTTTAATTTCAGTTGGTTGAGATGGGATCAACCATTTCTATTTCATTTTTCCTTATGTATGCAATGCAATTGTTGTTACTTTGTAGTGTGTGCTAGACTTTCGTGGCGGAATCCCATTTGCTACATTTGATTACTTCGTAGTGTGCTAGAATTTCGTTGCGAAGTCTCATTTGGTACATTTGATCATAAATGTTATTCCTGCAGAGGTAGAGTGAGCAATTGAATGATCGCCTGCTGCTTTGGTTATCGTCAAAGTCTAGTGTTTTTTCTTTCAGTCTGACATTGAAGAACTCTAGTTAATAATAGCTTTGATGATCATCTATTCGGAGTTTTTGTTTTCTGTTTTGAGTTGTCAAGTATTTTCTGTTGATTTGGTCGTTGAAGAAGTTTAGTGTTTGGTTGTTTCATAGTTTTAGAAGTATTTTTATGTCTCTGAGCACATTCCCTTTTGTATAAATGTATATAATGTCTTCCACTGCATACCTATGTACCAGTACTTGAACCGTCTTTTGAATCTGTTGGTAGGGTTGTAATAAGCCTTGTTCATTTTCAGGTCATCTATGTATTCGGGTTTGGGGTACCGCTGTTCACTGTTGGCATTGGAAGTACATATGGAGTGAAATGGGGCTTGTGGCTCATCCACAAATTATTGCTTACTGCAGTTTATGGCTTCATATTGTTTGTGCATTTCTCAAAGTGGAGAGAGAAGTTACCTCGTGAGTACATTTCCAATTCCGCTATCATTGCTTTTGCTGGAAATCTAACAAATCTAACTCGCGGTTATCTTCTTATCTTCTGCAGCTAGACCAGCATTCTACAACTACATCGTCATAATGTTTGTACTAAGTGCTTTGGCATCATTTGGTTGCGGGCTTGCTGGAATTGGAGCTGGTTTTGGAATCTGGTACTCAAAATTAAGCACAAAACTAGAACTTTGATACGTTCATTATCTCAAATGCTTGCAATTTATAAATTTGAATTTGTGCACATCCTGCAGGTTGTACAATTTGACGGACATATGCTATCACACTCTTTATCTTCCGTTTCTGTACGTGATTTTTCTAGCGGATTTTTTCCAGGTGATCATTCTTCCCAGTCCCGACCCCACTTAGTGGGAAAATGCTTTGTTGTTGTTGATCATTCTTCCCAGTCGTGGTTAAACAGTATTTTCGGGTTTTCCGATTTTTTCTCCAAGTGATGCTCATGCAATTGCTAATCTACATTGTGATTTTTGCAGGAAGAAAGTTTTCTCCTGGAGAATGCGTATTACTCAGAGATGAAGGATGCTGGGTTCTTTGATGCCGATTGGGATTAGTCCGTCGGACCATCAGTAACTTGTGAACGTGTAAATTCAGCAGAAAGAAGGCTGGACCTTTTGTATACTTTGTAAATAAGTTGAACGGATAAATGTTGGATTTTGTGAGTGAAAGTAGATTGAGAGGTTCCCGTGTAATATGATGGCTTATTTTTAGCTACGCCCCTTGAAAGCTAATATCTCACTTTGCCTCTCTAAAACTCAAAATTTGCTCCACTTTGCCCCTTAAAACCCGATTTTGATCTCATTTTTGTCCAGGGAAATTCAAAAGTCATTATTTTACTCTATAACAATCGAAGTTAGCTCCATAGTGCCTTAGTTCTGTTAACCTCGTTATGTGGGTGAGATTTGGATGCACCAAGCCAATCAATTTAGTTTTTATTTTTTTCCATCCCTGCTACTCAAACGCGGCACCCAAAACAATTTCAATTCTGAATTTCTTCTTTTAAACTCAATATTTTATTCTTGAATGTTAACGCATAACGAAGATTTATAATTAAATTCATTAGCACATGGCATATAGTCTTATTGAGTGGTGGGTTGCACATACGTTCCAAAGGCAACTTTTGAATGTCAAAATGAAACGAATTTTGAGTGTCGGAAAGTAAAATGACTTTTGAATTACAAAGAGTAAAGTAAAATCGTAATCGAGTACAAGAACATAACTAAATGTAAACCTAATATAATTTGGGTGGTAATTTCACATGACTTTTCTCATATGTTCATGTATTTTTTAATATTCCGGTTGATCACCGCCGTTGAATAAGTTCCGCGATAGAGTGCTCTTGCTCGAAGCCCAAATAACAATCCGAAACTAAAATCAATTTCATCCCCTGGAAAACACGGTAAAATAATGTTATACAAGCAAACCAAGACATTGAAATCGAAATTGAAATCAAAATCGACAGTTGGATATTCGGTAACGATGAATTATTTGCCCGGGTTTAGTCACTCGTAATAACAAACGGAATGTCAGATATTCGATAAAGGAGGGAGAGTTTAACCGCGTACCTGGATATTATTTGGAGCTGCTGGTAACTCCATGTGAGTAACCAAGTGATCTGAGAAGGATACCCTCTTCAGAGCATATAATTCAGATGTTGAGGTGTTCCCAAGGACCAACCACCACGCTTCGTTTTTCACCTGTCAAAGAAATCCGAAGCTTAATTTCGTTTCTCGTTATCGGTTTAGAACAAGGAGAACAATTTTACGGTTTTACCTTAGGAAATCGCGGGGTAAACGCTCTTGATTTGTTTTGCCTGTAATTGGTCTTAACCAATCTGATGTTTAAAGAGTGAGACTTTCCGCTGTCCTTTTCCTGAATTCTTAACTTCATTTCGATGCGGGGAAAATGCTGCAGATCCTAGAACAACAAAAAAATTGCAGATGTTAAGCTACCGGAATCAGTTGGCATGCCTGGCAGCGAATAATAGTGAACAAAAAACGACTTGTGTCTCAATAACCTAACCGACCCACTCCAAAAGCCATCCGGTCATGTTACATCTTGACCGTGGGTGGGTTTGCTATGTGTCAGCTATCTTTGAAGTCCGTACCTGAAAAAACTTTGAAGCCGGGAAGTTTCCGATCATGGTCTGCAAAGTTGCCTTGGGGAGATTCAGTAGTTGCTGCACGCTGAATATTCCTCTTTTGCTTAGTGAGTCGGCGAGTTCAACATTCATGCATGGCATCATCCACAAGGAAGAATCCTTATCAAACCATAAACCCTGAAACGACACAAAAGATAACAGAAGAGGCTAGGCATCAAACTTTACTTTTTTGAGAAACAAATCATCCGAGTCAAATCAGTTAACGTTTAACTAATCAACTGATATGCTGGCCGTACAACGTCATAATATGAACCAGGCAAAATGCTAAGCTGCGGTCCTTTTTCTAGGCAGGTACTTTTATTCGTTTTACAATAAAAGTCGGAATGGTAACCACTAGGAGTTTACCTGCATGACCATTTGCAGAAGATGCATGCAAGTAACTGAGCTTGAAAGCCACCCGCTGTTGGCACATATATCTATCATGGCCTGGATGACCCGTATACTTTGATCCAGTACCGACTTCAAGTCTGTGACGTAATCACTGATTGGTAATTCTAACTGCGAGAAATGTGCCTGAATGCAGAATTCATGCATGGTAAGAGAAACAATGAGAGAACTAAAAGAAAACGACGGAACGTTCTTATTATGAACATATTGTTGAAGATAACTCTGACCTGAAACAGAAGATTGGCTTTGACATGTGGATCATCTAACCGGTCCTTGTCCACTCTATATCGAACTCTCTCAGCCAACGCTCCATTGTAATTCTCCTATTATTTATACATAGTTAAGACGAAGATCTCATATTCTTTTACTAAATAAATTTTAATTGGCGCTGACTTGCAATAACATGGGTAGGACTATTGTCCCAAAAAGTTTTGGATCCAACACAGAACTTAATATCTTGTGTGGTATAGGAAGAATATCATATGTTAGCAAATTTGTACGAAAGAAGGATTCCATATGACTGCTAATTTTTTATATTCCTTGCAGTGCTAAATTTTTCAATTTTTTTTTTTCAAATAGCCACCGCTGGTATATTTAGTCGGTCAAGTATGTGCCTCTTTACTAATCCAAAAAGAAAGAAAGTACCCAAGACCTTAGACTAATTACCTCATTGTGCCGCACAGGAAGTTCGTTATATTCAGAAGCAGCCGATAGGATATGCAAGAACACCTATAGGAAATAGCCTTCCATAAGCATAACAGCATAAAAATGTATAAGTGAGAAAAGGACTACCAGATAACTCAAGAACCATATCTTACTTCAAGCGACGTATCTGAACTTATGTTTGAACCAAACATTGATACAGTCATGTAGCTAAGGTAATACTGGGATGCTATTGAACCCAGCATCGTTGGCTCCACACTGTCTTCATTCATCTCGATGCATCCACTGTCTTCGAGATCCTCAAATGTGTTCTGCACTAGCCTGTCAAAAACAATAGTAAGTAGTGAAAGCAATGGCACTGGAAGAGAATGATAAAAGAAAAAGAATCGATGAGAATTGGACATTTTATTACCTAGACAAGTAAGAATTTACAACTTCAGCTTCAGCATTGTCCAAGCCATAGTAAGCTGGATTAAACATCTGTAGCAAATGCAATGCGTTCACAACTTTTATGTCAAAAAAATGATAGGTGTAGAATATTCAAAAATAAAAAATAATCTGATTCCCTTTCTTTCTATATTTTTATTCTCTCTAGTTATGTGACCAAAACCATACCAGTCTACGGTATAAATATGTCCAGGTAAGATAATGCAGCGCATCCTCTTTATGGCAAATTGTGCCAGAAACTATCTCAGCGTTGATGTGATTATGCAACTGTTCCCTCAGACTACTCTCGACGGGAAATGGTTCATATAAGAACTGCAATTCATTAAACCACATATTATTCCAGCACCCTGTGAAGGATGACATTCAACTAACTATATAAAGTCACGACTTCAAATTAACCTTTTTATAGAAGCTCTTTTTGGGTTCATGAACAAGAATGACTGCTTTCCCATGCTGATCAAATTGTGGCCGGCCAGCACGACCCATCATTTGCAAGATATCTGTGATTGGAAAATCAACATATCTTTTTGCTTTCCCATCATAATATTCTGTTCCCTGCAAGAGAATTAATGGCATTATGTAAATGAAAGATCTAGGAAGAACAGCTGATGCAACAGATACCTGCAAAAAATTTAATTCTAGGAACAACTGTAAAAGCCTACCACAAATTTTGCCTTTACCTTAATGATGACTAGATGAGCTGGAAGGTTTACACCCCATGCCAATGTGCTCGTACAAACCAATACCTATAATTTGATGGACAATGCCTAATCAGTATAAAGAGTAAGATATTTTTCTTCCTAATATTCTCTTTCTGTACTGTGTCTATCAGGAAAGATATGTGATTTGTCAGGTAAAGAGAATTGCCTGAATCTTGTTGTTTGCAAAAAGCTCTTCAACTAGAGATCTATCCCTGTCATTCAGACCAGCGTGATGTAATCCAATGCCAAATTGCAAGGTGTGCCTAAGGTTATTATCAGTGACCTGAGAAAGCACCATCTGCAGGTCGTCTTCTGGCATACTAAGAAACTGCCTTGGATGTTCATCTGAAGCTGCAAACTTCAATTACAGAAAAGCAATAAAAACAATAATAATTAGTCACAGTTAGGGAATGCTTCATTTTCCCAACATGACTTCGGATCCTACCTGAATGAGGTCCAATGCAGTAAGCCTTGTCTGTCGACGAGAAGAAACAAATATTAAAACTGGTTTTGTAGGTGAGTGGGTGCATATCGCAGCGTATGCTGGTTTGTTCATGCTATTCATCCTTGGGCAATAGAACTTTCCAGGGTATCCCTGTTCATAAACTGACATATTAGTGCTATGAAGTAAACATATATAAGGCCCTTATCTGCTTTCATCTCAACAACAAAAAAACATAAACAAGGAGACAACTCTATATTCTACCTCATTTAGTGCGCATAGTCACTAGCATAATAAAAGATCAGCTAATATACATAGATCAAAAGGAAAACAGTATAGTTGTAGTTACATATCCAATTTTAAATACCCTTATAGTTCTAGCAGCACAGGTGTATCTAATACCTTCTCCCCCTCTTTTGTAAAAAAAAAAAAAAAGAAAGACAAACATACTTTATTTAAACCATTGAGAGACAATACAATTACTTAGGAGGACTAAGGGACCAGTGAGATACAAATCGAACAGCGAATATTGATGCAGAAGATTGCAGACCTAGATATGTAATCTCACAATTACCTATGCATTTAAAAACAACTACCATACCATTAACGGTTGTATAAAACCAAAACAAGTATTATAAACTTAATATCATAGACAAGAAAACAAGAGATAACCGAGATGCTGTAACAAAGTCGCTTGCAAATTGAAGGAGGCCCATATTCCAATATTCCCCAGGAAAAGTTACTGACAAATCACTTCCAAAGTAGAGCAGAAAGATCAAACATGAAACCATAATCCATTTGAAACACTAAATTTACTACCTGGATATGAACTTCAAGAGGTACAGGTCTCACGCTTGGTTTAAAATTGAAGAGCCCAATTTCCCCAACACCCAACCAATCAGCCAAATCCCTACATAATTGAAACGGCAAAAGAATATTCAAAACATA